AGCCCAGCAGGTCGAGGCTGCGGTGGCCGGAAGCAGCCACTGCACTCCAGTCTGGGCGACAGAGTGACTCCAACTAAAAAAAAAAAAAAAAAATTGTATATTTATTCTTACATATTTAAACTTAGTCACCTAAAAAGTATTCTCCGTTTGATGGAATACACCTAACGAGATGCTTTTTCCACTGCTCAGAATAGTTTCTGAACTCATCAGTTTTGATGCCTTTTAGAGCTTCTGCCATTTTTTTTGTTTCATATCTTCCACAGCAGCAAAACATTTCCCTTTAAGGACTTTTTTCATCCAGTGGAACACAAAAAAGTCGCTCAGGGTGAGACCAGGTAAATAGGGTGGGTAGGGCATGGGGGACATGACAATTTTGGTCTAAAACTGCTGAACAGTTAGTGTGGTGTGGGCAGGTGTGCTCGTAAATCACCCATCATGAAATGGACAAATGCGTTGTAAGAATCTCCCAAAATTCACTGAAGCCAAACACAGCCTTTCACAACAACACTAGCTGGTCCACAGATGCTGGTTCCTAGAACACCTAATTAGTGGGGGAAGCCTGTACTACAAGAGGTCAACCCTCCAAAAAATATATATATAAAATTCCAGGTTTTTATGGGTCTCCCCCATATAGGGCAAATACAAGAAATGTGTAAAAAAGTAAGTGCTCAAGGATGACCACATTATGTCACTCCCTCAAACCCACACACTACTTTTCCAAACATTATATAATTGTTCCTGATATTTTCTTTTCTTTTCTTTTCTTTTTTGAGTTGGAGTCTCACTCCATCGCCCAGGTTGGAGTGCAGTGGCATGCTCACGGCCACCCCACCGTCGACCTGCTGGGCTCTGGCAGTCCTTTTGCCCCGCCTCCCAAGTAGCTGGAACTACAGCCACACCTGGCTAACGTTTGATTTATTGTAGAGATGAGGTCTCTCCAAGTTTCCGGGGCTGGTCTCGAACCTGCAGGCTCAAGCAAACCACTCACTTCAGTCTTCCAAAGTGCTGGGATTATAGGCTGAGCCACCCACGAGTTTAGCCATTCCAGATATTTTCGTTGTTCTTTTTCCTCAGAATTTTATTCCTAATAGTCTTCACTTGGTGAACTTCTACTTATCCATTAGAACCAAAATGAAATATTACCACCACTACAAAGCCTTGCCCAATCCCCAATAGCAGAGTTAGTTGTTCCATTCGGTCTTGTACCCTGTTGTCAAAACAATATAATTACTATTAATTAAGTTCCTAATATATGCCAGAGCCTTTACATATATTACCTCTACTCCTCAGGTTGTTACCATGCAATTATTCCTGAGGTTTGGGAAATTTAGTCACTTGCTCAAAATTATGCACTAGTAAGTGATTGAACTAGGGTTCTAACTCAGACCTCGCTAGCTGCAAAGCCCATAGCTTCCATCATATGAGGCTTTGTTTTTATGGTGAAATCAAATGGTTCCAATCCTTTTTGCCTCTTTCTCTAAACTGTAGGCAACTTAAAGTCAGAAAAGTCTTTTTCACATATGTATTTCAATACCCAGCATGCAGTAGGTAGTCACAAGTTTTGCACATGAATGGGTGAGTGAATAAATAAATGCCAAAGACTAAGCCCAGGAACTCTGTGTGGTTGCAGACAGAAATAAAAACATGTGCACCCTAAACATGTAAGCCTGAACCTGGGACAGAGTTGGTCACACAAGCACCTATTTTAGTGCTTCAGAGACTAACATTTTTCTGTCCTTGCATCTTTCCACTCTCTGAAGTAGATGGAGCTTTTAATCTTCACCTGATTACTCAGCTATTCCAGGCTCTAAATCCAAACCTACCTTTCATTAGGAAGACACAGAATCTAGTTAAAAGTTTCAGGTTCCAGGATCAAAACAGTTTGTTTTTGTTCTCACCCATACCTTAGTTTTAGGATGTGAATCCCTCCCTTGTAATGCTATACCTGTAGACATAACAATGACCCATCTTGTCCTGAAGTCTGGCCTTGCTTTGATGAACTCCTTCATGAGAATGTCTGCCTATCTGCCTGATCTCCAGGGATGTCTGCTCCCAGACCCATCCATCATCATTTCATATGACTACAAACTCAAATGCCATCTTGTTGAAAATGTCTGATGTCAACTCCTTGGCACCCATCACTCGTTCCTTCCCTCTGACACTATGGATCTCACTGTATCAGGCCAGGTTCTCCCACAGGCTGCGGAAGGTACCTGTCCTTCTTATCTTTTCCCTAACAGAGTTTTTTTGTTTGTTTTTTTTAAATAACAAAAACACAAAACAAAACAAAAAAATCCTTGCATGCAAACATCAAATTTGGAATTATGTAGTCATATCTTAAATAATCTAGTGGTAACAGAACATGAAAGCTCAGCAGATATGTATAAATTACAAGAATATCGGCATTTAGAAAACAAAGTAGTAAATACTACTTTGAAATATTTGAAACTCAAATTTCTGTGGTATACCAATGTTATTTCCCACTTATAGACCTTTTTCCCCTCTATCACCAACTTTTTCTCTTTTTCAAAAGTTTGCCCATCAAGATGGAGCATCATGTGCCTCTCCTCTTGTTATTATGTCCCCTTGGTAGACTCTGCATAGTATCAAGTCATCACATGAGGAACTTGCATTAGAATAGAATGCACGTGACATCAGACGCATGTCTAAACTTTCTAGTAAATTAAAGGTAAAATATATAACTTTATTTAAAGCCTAATTTTTAAATTATCTAGTACTCATTCACTATACAACAAATATTTAATAAGAAACAGCTATATACCCAAATCTGTGCCAGGAACCTTGGAGAATATAAAACACACAAAAAAATTCTGTCTAATCTCAAGAAGCTTAGCACACAAACATATAACAAATAGCTATGGTTTGTAAAATACTAAAACACAATGTGAAATAATAAGAAGCCCCTAAACAAGGAAATGAGTGGTATGAAATGGGGTTGATTAAAGAAGGCCTGAAAAGATTTTTAAAACGATACAAATACTATTTGGGAAGTTATAAAAGATAACTGGTATAAATTAAAGCCATACTCACTCACCCCAAATAAAGTCCTAATACTTAACTATTAAAATTTACAGTTGTGACTTACTATTTCATCTTCCAGTTCTTGGTCAACTCCTTCCAAATGTCCCTGGAGAAAAAGAGCCTTTTGCGTCTCTGCTATTTCATAAGTTGGAAGCATTTCATTCTCATTTTGGAGTGTATCTAATTTTTTACTAAAATGTGCCATCTTCACATCTTGGCTAATATTTTCAATGATATCGACAGCATTTTCAGGACGCTCATCTAATATCTTGGTCAACATATTAGAAAGATGATCATATCTACCCAAAAAAAAAAATTCCACATAATATACATGCCAAGAGCTTTTGAAGAAACATTTCATGCAGACTCAGTGAGTGGGTTTTTAGGGAAGTTTAATAACTCGAGTTTTTCAGTGGATAAATACGTAAGGTAATTTCTACTATGCCAGAAGTAACCTATCCTAGAATTTTCCTTAGGAAATGACATTAATATAAGGATGTTGAAATTATTAAAGAAAAACATATTACACCAAGATACATACTCCACATCAGGCACATTTTCACATTTATTTCTGAAATTGAAGTCTCTTGGCTATATATTTAAAAGTGATTAACATTTTTTTCACTCTTTACCTTAGCTTCTTTTCCATTCCTCTTCCTCTGCCCTCACCAAATCCAATTTGATTTCTAATCCTGTTGATTCTATCCTTAAGATCTCTTCTCTTCTTTTTAATTCTATTTTTAAAGGCAGTTATCTACTTCAACACTTTTTAGATCTAAAAGGGATGCATTCTATATTGCAACCTCCATTCACTCACAACTAATAATGTCATTAAATGTTATTCGCCTGTATTAAGATGTGAGCGCTCTAATATTTTGTTCTGTTCTATTAAAAACGCTGCCCTAGCTTTTTATCTCACGAATGAATCAGTGAAGTTGCCTCTACCCTTACATTAATTCATTACATTGTCTACATAACTGCCGATGTGTGCTTTTTCAAAGACTAGATTTAAAACGTGAATTTACTATTAAAAAGGTCAAAGTCTGTCTGTCAAAGTATTCTGTCCTGTCAAAGAACTCTTGAAAAGAAACTCTTGGATATACATTGTACCTCTCCAACTTTGTTTCTAATTATTAGTTCAGTTAGATTTTCTGCCTCAGTGAGGTAAATCTAATAAAAATCACTTTTATACATGTGCTATGTGTTACCTGGAAACTTTTGCTTGCTATGTCCCATATACCGAGGGTGCCAAAATATATGTATATATACACATTTTAAGAGATGTTGTCTATGTATTGTTTTTCTTTTTTTTCTTCTGGCACGTTCACAGACACCCCAGCATCGATTTGTTGGACTCAGGTGATCCTTTCGCCTCAGCCTTCCAAGTAGCCAGAATTACAGGCGCGCTACCGTGCCTGGCTAATTTTTGATTTATTGTAGAAACGAGGTCTCACCAAGTTGCCCAGGCTGTTCTAGACTCAGACAGTCCTCTCACCTCAGCCTCCCAAAGTGCTGGGATTACAGGCTTAAACCACTATACCTGGCCATGTATTGCTTTTTAAAGTCAAATTGAATTATGGCAGCAACGTGCAGTACGACATTCACTCTAACAATGGTGTTCACCAAATGAATGCTAGCATCACCATGCGACAGGCAGGGCAGTCAAAGAAAATGGCAGAAGCACAGTTGTCATTCAAGAAGCACAAGACCGTTTTGAAGTGGTATTTGAAATTCGAGAATGTTGTGGAAGTACAATGGAGGCGTGAGTATGCAACAGAATCTCGGATAGCCTGACAATTGCCCGCACTTGTAATAAGTTTGAGATGCATGGTCCTGTGTGTGATGTGCACAAGGAAAGATCCAGGAGCAGCAAGTCCTGCAGTAGCTCACCATAATCAGAAGTGTCTGGACTCTGACGGGAACCATAGTGAGCACCTCTTGTAACTGCAGAAGTCAAATGTGACTTGTATTCATCTTTTGCTATTGGTATATATTGAGTATTACACTTTTAATACAGTTTTTTCCTTTCTTAAAATGTGTATACTGTTTTTAACACCCTCTGTATGTCATTTCTCTCAAAGAATAATTTAAAATCCCCTTCATCCTCAGGGACTTTGCACTCAAGTCATTCCTCCAAATCATCCTTTCTCAATTTATAAGTGCCATTCTGAGAACATTGATATGCTGCTATGAAATTTGATACATTATATATTTCTTATTCAGTAACTGCCTTAGGTTCTTCTACAGCCAAGATCAGGGTTTTATATATCTCACTGTTATTATAGCGAAACAAAATAAATAAATGTTCAATAGCTGTCAACTTTCTTTAATTGAAGAGCTATTATTTTTGTTATTTTTCTTTAATGTCAGAGAAAAATAAGTTGATTATATGGGCAACCAATTGGAAGGGCAGTTAAAAATATTAGACAGGGTCTGAAGAACACATAATTCTTTTCCCAAATATTACTATTACTGTAAATGGGAAGAAATGGTTTGACTTTTTGTTTTTGTTTTTTAAGTTCAAGCTTCCTTAATATTTACACTATTAGACAATTACTTTTTACAAGTATCCTGGAGATATGCTTGGACTTTATGGTTTTTATGTCTCTTTCAGGCCCCCAAATTCCACAATTCTTAGGCTTTGTTTCTGTGTGCCTAGGGTCTTTAAAGAAGCTGGAAGAAAAATGTAAAACAAGAAGTTAGAAGAATCCACACCAGGGGTGTGTTTTGAGTGCTCTGATCCAAAAAGTTAAGTCACTAACTCTTTTACTGATAAAATCCTTTCAAATATGTTTCCATTCACTCACAGAAACGCACTCTGACACAGAGACACTCACAACCTTTGGCTTTGCCAAGCTTCGATCTCTCCCAGACTCACAGGTTTAGGCCCGACTTGCTACTGGTCTTCAGCAGGTAGGCCTTAGCATTCTGGATGGCGGTCTCAAGCTCGCTGGGTGAGGTTTCCAAGGCCCTGGTTGCAGGCTGGTCTGAATCAGAGTCACTGCTTGAGTTTTCCTTCTGAAAAATGTCAAATCTCAGCTCCTTGTGTTTAGAGTTTTGACGGCTCACGTCCCTAGGTCCATACAGGCAAGGTTTGGGTTGCTGCGACTGTTGAAAAGCATCTCCCTCTGCTTGGTTTGTGTGGTGAGGAGTTGATTCTCTTTGATCAGAAGATTGTTCCGAAGCATCCGAAGGAGGCGGTCTAGCATCAGGAATCACACCAGGCGTCCTGTCTGACGGAGGAGGGATCACGAGATCCTGTCTGGCCACAGCTAGGGGAGAAGCAGCGGGCGAGGGCTCCTGTGGAGGGCGAGGGGAAGGTGATGCTCCTGGCCCCGTGGGGTCAGCTGCGGAGCTATAAGGAGAACTGCTTCTAGGCTGGGGACGCGTGTCTGGCCCCTGCTTCGCCTCCACGGGCTCAGACGACTCAGGCACAGAAGACTGGGAAGAAGCTGCTGTCTTGCCTCCCCATGGCTGTCCTGCCTCCGCCGGGACTTGGTTTTCTTTTTCTTGCTGCGTGGAAGCCGAGTCTTCCATGGAGAACCAAGAGTCGGGATGGTGCGTGAGAATATGGAAGAAGACAGCGCAGGGCCGCCGCTTTGCAATTCTCCAGGGCGACTCTGAGTCTCCGGGCCAAGCACGCGGCAGCGTCCGGTCTCCAAGGCAACCCCGGGCGGGCTCCTAGAGAAACAGGCACATCTCTCGCCGGATTCGAGGGCGGACACAGCGACGAAAATCCTAGATCTATGATTTGCTGGATCCCCCGCCCCTCTTCCGAGTGCAGCCAATCCGAGCTGGACTCGACCCGCCTTGGTTGGAAACCGGAGAACTCCTGGTCCAGCGCGCAGCGCGCGGAGTAGGAGGAAGAGCCGCCCCAAGTGGGAGAACTGGAGGGTCTGAGAGTGAGCCGCAAGTCGTGCTGTGAGGAGGGAGTGGAGGGATAGTATATGTGCAGAACTAGAGAGAGAACGAGAGGGAGGGAGGGAGGGAGACAGAAGGAGAGAGAGGGAGCGGGAGGAGGAAGGAGAGAGAGAGAGAGGGAGGGAGACGGAGAGGGGGAGGAGAGAGGGGGAAAGAGGAAGGGAAGGAGAGAGAGACCTTGGGAATCGTGGAGGTGCAGGTGACAACGGAACTCCAGTATGCAGATCAAGAGAGCCCACATCTCACACTTAGAGTGCACAGAAGATGTCTTATCATCAGCCAGCCAACTCTGGAGACTTTTGGAGAATAACCCTGAGTTTTGTTCTTCTTCCTTCTAAGAAATCAGCCTGGCCGGGCTCGGTGGCTCAGCCTGTATCCCGCGCTTTGGGAGGCCGAGGTGAGTGGATTGCCTGAGCCCGCGGGTTCGAGACCTGCCTGGGCGACTTGGCGAGACCTCATCTCTACAATAAATCAAAAAATCAGCCAGGCGTGGTAGCGCATGCCTGTAATTCCGACTACTTGGAAGGCTGAGGCGGAAGGATCGCCGGAGCCCAGCAGGTCGAGGCTGCGGTGACCGGGAGCGGCCACTGCACTCCAGTCTGGGCGACAGAGTGAGACTCCAACTCAAAAAAAAAAGAAAAAGAAAAAGAAATATGCTTGATGAGCAGGCAGAATATTATCTTCAGGGAGAAGGCAACGCAGAAAGCTAACCCTGTATTATAGACAGTTTGTGGGTCACCTGTTTTCTAGTGATTGAAATTCAAATCAACACTGAACTATATTGGCATGGTATAATTCTTATTTGATACTGTAAATGTGAATTCATAATTTCACGAAAATAGGCCAGGATTCTGACGCTTAATCTGTCGTATAGGGTCTCCAACACTAGGAAGGTATAGAAGACTGGACCACATCTGGTTTTGACTGTAAGCCATAAATTAAAGTCCCTAATGTTAATTTGATGTTAATTTTTCCTGTACTTCTCTCTCTTTTTTTATATACCACTTTCTCTTTTTAATCCTTGGTATTTGCCATCTTCAATGGCAACTTGTATTTAGCAAGCTGGTGATCATCAATTCTATCTTAATAGAAGAACATGAATAGAATTAATAGAAGACTCTTCCACCCAGTGTAGCGGAGGAATCACAGACCCCTTCAGTAATTTGATAAAAATCATGGCCCTTTACCCTTCCCAAAATAATCATGTGCACACGTAAAATTGTTGTATATAGTTTCTGTTGGTACAAAGACTCTTTAAAGTCAGACTCCTGGGATTTAGAATGCTTGGGGTTCTAAAAACAAAACAAACGGTTAGGATACACAATGACTAGACACGGACTTTTTGCAGTTGATGCAATGGTTGAGGGAGTCAGCATTTGCTCCCCCTTTATTTCGCCCTTGCAGCTGGGACGCTGCCATGGAGACTCTAGAGCTGGAGGGTCTGACCAGGAGAAGGGAAGCAAAAAGGAACAGACAGCTCATTTAGCTCCCCAGCTTGGAAGGGAAGCAATGTAACACAGTGCACATTGCTATTCCTGCTTCCTTTTCAACCCAAAGCTCTATCCAGACATTTACCCTAGTAGTCCTAAAGTTGCCTCTCACTGCTCTTAGGTAAAGAACAGAGTTCTTCACCTACTTACCTTCCCAGCTTCATCTTAAGCCATGCTCCTTAATACTGGCCTTATAAAATGGGTTGAGAAGTGTTTCCAATTCTTCTATTTTTTGGACTAGATTGTGTAGAATTGGCATCATTTATTTAAATGTTTAGTACAATTTACAGTGAAACTATGGATTTGGAGGTTTTGGCTTCAGGAAGTATTTACTGCTAATTCTGCTTTTACAATAGTTATGGGACTATTCAGATTATCTCTTTCATTTTAGATGTGTATTGGTAGTTTGCAATTTTAAAAGATTTTGTGCATTGCATCTAAGTTGTTTAACTTATTCTTTTGCTTATTTGTTTTTTGAATTGGGGTTTCAGTCTGTCACCCAGGCTGTAGTGCAGTGGTACAACCACAGTTCACTGCAGCCTTAATCTCCTGAGCTCAGGCTGTCCTTCTGCCTCAGACGCCAGAGTAGCTGATACTACAGGTGCATACCACCATGCCCAGCTAATTAAATTTCTTTCTTTCTTTCTTTTTGTAGAGACAAAGTCTTGCTATGTTGCCTAGGCTAGTCTCAAACTCCTGGGCTCAAGCAATCCTCTCGGCCTCCCCAAATGCTGGGATTACAGGCATGAACCACCATGTCTGACCTGTTGTTGAACTTACATATGCTGTATTCTTTGTAGTGTTCTCTTTTTATTATTTTAATGTGTGTAGGGTCTGTAGTGATATCTCTTTTATTCTTGATTTTGAAATTTGTCTTCTCCTTTTTTCTTTTTCAGTGTTATTGAGGGTTTACATTTTATTGGATTTTTTAAAAATTAGCTTTAGATTTTATTTATTGTCTCTGTTTTTCAGTTTCATCGATTTCTGTTTTTAATTATTTCTTTCCTTTTTATTTTGCTCTTCTTTTGCTAGTGTATTGAAGTAGAAACTTGAATCATTTATTTGAGATTTCTCCTATTTTCTAATATAAGCACATAGTGTTAAATATATTCCCTTTAAGCACTCTTTTGGCTGTATCTGACCAATTTTGATATGTCTTATTTCCTTTTCATTCAATTCAATATATATTTTTAAATTTCTCTTAGCCTTTCTTATTGACTTATAAATTATTTTTATGTGTTGTTTAATTTCCAAGTGTTTAGAGATTTTCTTTTTTGTTTTGTTTTTTGAGTTGGAATCTCACTCTGTCGCCCAGTCTGGAGTGCAGTGCCATGCTCACAGTCACCCCAGCATCAACCTGCTGGGGTCTGGCTATCCTACTGCCTCAACCTTCCAAGTAGCTGGAACTACAGGCACATGCTATCATACCCTGCTAATGATTTACTGTAGAGACGAGGTCTCGCCAAGTTACCCAGGCTGGTCTCAAACCCACAGGGCCTCCCTAACTACTGGGACTACAGGCTGAGCCACTGAGCCCAGCTGAGATTTTCTTATTATTTTTCTATGATTAATTTATATATAATTTCATTACTGTCAGAGAATATACTTTGTATTATGTTATAGCAGGGCTAAATTTTGGGTTTTGGTTTTATTTTCTTTGGCATTCACATGGCTTCCTAAACATTTTTTTTTTTCTTTTTAGGACTTTGTGGCCACTATTTTCTCAATAAAGTTTTTTCCCATCCCACACTCATTCTCTTGTTTTTGCTGATCCGGTGACACAAGTGTTAGATCTTCTGTTATTGTCTCACAGATTCCTGAATTTCTGGTCCTTTTTTTCATCTACTTTCCTTTTGCTGTTCAATTAGATAATGTATATTGATCTGTCATCAAGATCATTGGTTATTTCCTCTGCTGTTTTCATTCTACTTTTAAGCCCAGCTAATGAGTTTTTTTATTTTATTATATTTTTCTGTGCTAACATTTTTATTTTATTCTTATTTATATATTTCATTTCTTTTCTGTAACTTTCCATTTTCCATTTGTTTCAAGGTTGTTTATAATTGCTTCTTGGAATATTTTTATGATGACTACTTTAAAATCTTTGTCAGAGAATCCCATCATCTGTGCCACCTTGGTGCTGGTATCTGTTGCCATTTTTTGTTCAAGTTGAAGGTTCCTAGTTTTTGGCATGACAAATAATTTTGGATTGTATCTTAGATGTTTATGTATGTTGCGACTCTGGTTCCTATAAAAAATTCTATTTTAGTAGGCAGTCTACTTTCTTAAATTTTAAACACATGTCCAATTTAATTTTATAAGTGATAGTTAGAAAGTCAATTTAATTTTCAAGACCTGTGAAGTAATTCTGGCCTGCTTCTATGTTCTACCCAGACATCATTCTGAAATATGAGCAGTATTCACACAGTAATTCAGTTTCACAACTTTTGTTTTATTGATTTTTATTGGTTTTATGCATGGGCCAACTGGAGGCTTTGCTTAGGAATTTATATACAGATTTAAAGAATCCCTCCCTCCCTGTTTTTCACCTCCTCTCTGTACTCTTTACCCATTCTGTAATTGGGAGGGGTGGTGTGCCCCCTCTTTGCTGTTATCTGCTTAGTACAGAATGGGAATGAGGGAAAGAGGCTCTACCTATGCTCCTGCTAATGCAGGGTGAGGTGATTGACATGATCTACCTTACAGTCTCAGTAAATGCAGGACTCAGTGGGGAGGGGAGGTAAGCCAATTTTATGTTCATTTACAGTTGGGAGGGATACACAGGCTGCAGCCTACTAGCGCCGCAGTGCCCAGCGTGCAGCAGGCAGAGTGTTGACTCTTCCTTGGTGTTTGCCTGGAGTAGAGTGGGTGGAATAAAAATGGGGTTTTAGTTCTGTGGGGCCTCTCTATTCCCAGGCCCTACAGAACCAAATCCATTCTGTTTGTCAAGGCAGAGCAGAACTTAGGGTGTTTCAAAAGCTGTGCACATTGAAATTTCTAGGTGTACATTGCACTAGTGGCTAGGCTTGGATACACAGGAGGGAAGAAAATTCCACAGAATTCACCACTAGGTCTTCTCTAAAGTACTTGACTCTTGTCAGTTTTCCTTCCTTTCTATATCTTCTGATAGGGTGGAATGTGCTTACTTTGTCTTTCAGTGATCAAGGAAATAAAATCTGAAAAAGGAGAGGATTGACCCAGGAGTTTATTGATAACTATAGTAAGGA